CAGATACAGCCAATATTCGCTCTTCCTTTAGCTCTGTTTCTCCACCAATTGCAGAGAAAAATACCTGTCTCTTTAGCTGCTTGATGTATTTCCTTTTTTCCCCTACAAGTTTCTAATTTTGTCAGCTGTTTGATGCTGGACAGGTAGTGTGTATTCATTGTGTTTATCATATATTAATCACTTAAAAACAATTGCCTGCTGCTGGTGGAAAGGAGGGTGATCGAGCATCTTATCACTTGGTAAAACAAAAAGGGACGATAGGAACAAGAAACTGTATGTTATAGAGAAAGACAATGAGATCAAGAGAAACAAACAGGAGAATTGCATTTCTATACAACACTATTAGTTCTATACTATCACTACAGTATGTGTGTCTAAGGGATTAGGGACAAAAACAAGTGGAAAGCACAGAGAAACTGATTGTATAGTGTTATGTTGTGCAGCCCCTGTTTGAAAGGCTCCTCTGTGATTGGAGTGCATGCTTCACTCCCACGTTGTGCCACTTCTCACTCATCACTCTTGAAATTACCATCAGCTGTCACGTGGATGCTAACAGTCTCTGAGAGCTGTACGACAATATCACGGTCTTCACATTCATGCAGAGGTACAGCTGCGGCTCTACTGTGAGTGACAGTGTTGGGTCTTTGAGCTGTGGTGAGGCAAGTAACCTTGAAACAAGAACGTATATGTTTGAGCAGAAATATTTATTGCTGCCAGAAAAACAAGCATCCACACCGGTTGTGCTACACAGAGTGTGCCGAAGTGTAACCAAACACAATTATGGAGCGTTTTAGCGTCTCTCAGCTCATTGTTTTGGTTCAGTTTCTGGACATCAATCAATCTTGTTTGCAGCAAGAAGGCAGATAAACTAACTGTACGATAACTGCTCAGGGCCAGACAGCAACAGTGACTAACAGTGCTGCAAATTAACTCCACCTTCAGTAAATATGTGCACATCATCCTTGCCAAAGAGCCGAGTCAATAATTCAACATGCATGCGTTTCCCACAGCGCATAGGTCACATCAGCTGCTTGTACTGTTCTGTAGCTCATACAACCGATGATGATTTGTAATTCAGTGTATACACGGTACAAATGTAGAACTTTGATTTTTCATTGTGGCGTTGGGAGAGACCAGTATGTGTGCCTGCTTTAAAGGCAAATCAACACTACTTATTTTTAAGAGCTTGGTCAACTCTGCTGTGCTGCTTCGTTTAGGGTGAGACTTTCAAGCATTCTGGCGTCAGCTTAATCAGTGAAGTCACAACAGGTGTGTTTCCAAAGACCTTTAATGGAAAACACCTGCTGTGGCATCAATGAGGTGCAACAATATCTTCAACTATTCTCTACTTGTGCTGCTCTAAAGACCCATGCTATACTTTGTGCTTCTACAATAATCGCCCTGATGGATTTTATTTCACAGTAATTACTGTGAATCTCAACATTATCCCAATCATGGCTACACACCAATGCACAACTACTAAAGTGGACTTATTCCATTGGATTTAATGCACTGGACTCATTTCTTGGACTTATTTCCCTGAACATCTTGTGTTGGATTTGTTACATTAGTGTTGCACCAACTGCAGTGTAATCCTATTGTTACATTGTAATTCCATTGTTATATTCTTTCTTTGAATTTCCTATCCTGAAGTTTCTACATTGTCCTTCCTTTTGTGCTATGAGTTTTGTCTTCTAAGAGAGATTAAAATGGATTTTGTCGAGATGTGTTATGTGATATTGGGTTCACTTGATTTGACATGATCATATTACAAGTTTTATATATATATATATATATATATATAGGAGATTTGCAGTTTGTGTGAGCTAACTGTGCTAACAGGGTGAAACTCCACTATGTCTTTACATTGTTTGCTAAATCTGAATCCTTTAAGCAATGTATGAACTCAAAGAAATATTCACAAAGAAAGATTGTTTTACATTACTGTCTGTAACTGGCTGCACTGTAGCAGTAACCATGGCAACAATCAGCCTCTGGCCAGCCATCGACAGTTTAATTAGCAGCAAATTAAATGTAAAATTAGAAAAAATGTTCCACAGCAGAGTGCGTGTTTGTGGATGGGAGCAAACATCTTATCACATCAGATAAACTGTTAACAGGAGCCCACTTGAAGGCACCGTCAGTGCTAGAGGCATGAAAAATGTGATGAGAAGTCAAAGTGTTATCGATGAAGAAATCACACAGGGCGGTGTATGTCTGTGCCAAATTTCATGGCTATTCATCCAGTGATTGTCGGGATATTACTCTTTGGACTTATAGGTGTTGAACCGACTGATTGACCAAACAATATGACTAAAAAAGGAGAGAAAATGTCACAGTCCTCCTGCTTCCAACCAGCAGCAGCCTGAGCACAGTAATGGAGTTTGAAAGAACAACACCGAACAGCACTACAACTCCCCAAAGCCACTTATTTTCCTCACTGCCACATTATGTTGAAGGAGGAGAGCAGATGAGTGCCGAGCAGGAAGGAGATTCATTTTGCGCTGTAAGTGGAGCAGAGCTGATGGCTGGAGAAAGGGGGCGATGGTAGGGGCACAAAAGGATGTCATCTGCAGGGTATTTTTAGAGTGTGAGGTGCACTGATAACCGGCTGCCATTGCAATCTGCCTGCAGGTTCCCAGCAATAATAACTGCTCTCATTCTGCAGATTCACTCAGAGTGAAGCCCTCTCACGCAGAGAAACAAGCAGGATGATTTGACTCTCTCACTCTCTTACACAAAAATATGGAAGCTCGTGAGTGACAAAGTAAGTGAGCACAAAAACTAATCAAGCTCTCAACCTGCAAGTCAAGATATGAGAGTGAACAACTGATTTGTAGAATGTTTTGTCCTGCTCTGTGTTAGTATATTCTCTAAAAAAAGATCCTGAGATACCCTGGGACCCTCCCGAGAAAGAAGCTTATTGAGGTCAATTTAATTTTTAGCTGTCAGTTGTGTTCAAGATCTTTCAGGCTTTTTGCAGGGTGTCTGCGATCCCCCTCAGGGACAGGTTAAACCAGTGGGTCCCAGCCTGTGGGTCAGGACCTCCACAAGAATTCTTAACCTCTGATCTTTGCTTTTTTTCTTGTAAATTACTCGCTGATTGTACTTCTTTGGAACTCTCAACAATATTCTAATAAAACAAGGGTATAAAGAATCTGTCTTTGGTACAACTGGTAGACATTTGCAACCAATGAGAGGGGTTGCAAGTAGAAATTGTTTTGTTTTAAAGGGTCACAAGCCAGAAAGATTGTAAAGCTCAGGGTCTAAGGGCAGGTTAAGATTCACATGCCATGCAATGAAGCTTGACAGAGTTATTCACAGCTGTTATTATTCTTACATTCCTTTCTTAAAGAACTTCACTGTAAAAATATTTTAGGCCAAATCCAGTCCTTGTTCTGTAAAGAAAAATCATTCCAAAGTTAAAATGAGGCTTCAACAGGAGAACTTCTATATGGAATAAGCACAAGGTAACCCACCACTCTTTCACATTTAGTGGTTCAAGCAACCCAGAAATGTCACAGGAAATGAATGGACTGATGGATGGATCTGGCAGCGAGGGTATTTTCTTAACAGTTAAAAGTTTTTTGAGACAAAAGAAAAAATGCTGAGGAGAATATAGCTTGACATTACTTAGAAGGCAGGGTCTTAATAGGATTGCACTTCACCTCGAGGTCAAATCAAATGGATTTCACTCGGCTCCCCGTGGGCTTTTTGCATGTGCAGATCCAAAATGCAAAACACTTTGATCATGCAGCTTTGAAGATACTGAGCCGAGGACACAGTTCCTCTTGGATCAAATCATTGATTACTACTTGCTATCAGGATTTTTCAGGAGCATAAACCTATTAATATGCACTTTGAAACCTTGATTTACAGATTGATTAATGGTCAAATTTGATAAGTTTCTTTAAGCAAAAATTCCCAATATTCTCCGGTTACAGCATCTCAAATGAAAATTTGCTGCTTTTCTCTGTTTTATCGGTGTGAACTGAATCTCTTTTGGTTTTTGACTGTTGATAAACAAGACATTTGAAGATGTCACCTTCAGCTCTCAGACGTTGTAATGGGCTGTAAATGGTTGTTTTTCCCTTTTTTTAACATGTAGTTGCAGCAATACTCTTCTTTTCTGCTACTTTACATGTCTAATCCACAACATTTATAGCTTTAGCTAATTACTTTGCAGATTCCTATTATCAATACAAAATATAAATCAACTCATGAATGATGATATATTATTATAGGTTATGCTAACCAGCAGTATATAATGTAAATTAAACTACCCCCACCTTTACCAGCTGCAACATTTAAGTACACATCAATGCATCAATAATTATAATACAATAATAAAATTTACGCTATTCTGAAATGGGCCATTCTGCAGAATGAACACTTTAACTTTTTGAAGTACATTTTAATGCTAATACTTGATGAAAGCAGGACTTTTACTTGTAATAGAGTATTTCAACATTGTAGAATAGCTACTTTTGCTGAAGTAAAATATCTGAATACTGTTTCCATCATTGTCTATAATACATTACATATACATTCATTAACCTAGGCCTACGTTTTCTCTCAGGTGCAACAGCTTTATCTACCTCCTCTCTGGGCTATTTTAGAAGCGACAGCACCATCTGCTGGTCAAACACGTGTACAATAAATAAGAATAAAATATGGAGTATTTTATAGACTTGACAAGCTACTTTATTTTACGCTATTGCCTTTGGTTCGTTTCAATAATTCAGCCTTCAACAGGAAAAACCTGTCCAAGTTCATGTGCATGTCTGCCATTAATCAGCATTACTTGCACACCTTTATGCTGACATTTGCATCTCTAATTTTGCTTTATTTTCTGTTCAACGACTTAGCAAACAACACTTGATAACTGCTCATTTCATATTTGTATTTTCTAAAGATAATGTCAGACTTTCTCACCAGTTAAACACTAACAGTTGTGACACCGACGTTAGGGCGCACACCGGAAGTGAGCAGGAGTTGCTTTAGGGTGCACACCGGAAGTGAGCGCGGGTTGTCTCTGAACAGCTCTGGACAGACATAGCGTGTTTGCTAGCTAGTTGCAACACAGGCTCAACAATGTTTTTCTTAACACGGCAAACGAAACACCGCTCGTGGATATGCTGTTTTTTTCTGGCGGTATATTTAACTTCGCCGCCGGTCTCGGCAAAACGTGACAGCCTCAGAGAAGTGACGGACGGGGCGTGGGAGGAGATCCTGACCGGAGAATGGATGATTGAATTGTCAGTGTCCTGCTAACGGCTAACCGGATATAGCTAGCTTGTCATTTACGTTACCTTAGCATTAGCTATTTTGAGCTCGTACAAACGGGCATGATTCCCGGTGTCCGGTCATATTCAAGCCTTAATGCCCTGTCCTATCTGATTATTATCTTATCCAACCCAATGTAGTCCTGACACGTTGCTAAATGTCTAGCTAACTTAACAGCTGCCATCTTTACTTAGCTAACCGGCTTACTACAGAGTTGTATGCTTGTCATTTAGCTGAAGAACTCGCTAATAAAGTAGACAGTCAGGTCCGTCAGTACATTTCAACTTGTACTCAGAAAATAACGTTATCTATACGGAGACATGTAACGTGATCGTGCAGTTTATCTGAGAGTCTTTGCTTGTGAAACTTGATACCCCCGCAGCTACGCACCCTGGTGTCCAGCATGTCAGCAGCTCCAGGTGGTGTGGAAGGAGTTCGCGGACTGGGGGGAGGACATGGGGGTCAACATCGCCAAGGTGGACGTGACTGAACAACCCGGTAGGAATGAGCGACCTCTGCTCCACTGACTCATACATGTAGCACAAGACATAGCTGTCACAAAATATATAATGCCTCAGAGCAGCTCTGCAGTAAACACCATACAGATGTAACCTGTAATGTCCTTTTTGTTGTTGAAACTGTGTCAGAGAAGTGTCGATTCAGTTGTGCTTAATTTAGCTATAGTTCAACAAATATGAGACCTTGTCTAATGTAATTTCACATACAACTGTATATTATAGGAGGTGTTTCTAATACTTTATCTAGACTTAATATTAGGAAGACCTCTGTATGTGGCAATACAATTCAACAGCATTACAAACTAGAGCCTCTAACATGGCCTTAAGGCTGAGTCGACAAGTATCTGAAACAGTCAACAAAAAGCTGTAACCTTCATGAAGCTGGGGTTTGTGGCAAAGATGTGGACTTAATAAACTGGCAAGTGAGTGTAATTTTGCAGCATTTGCTAAAGATGAACCAAAAATTGGATGCACAAATTCAACATTGTCCACAATTATGGAAGGCAACATATGGCCACTTACTGAGGTACGAGATGGTTGCTACCAGATTTGTAGATGCGTCAGTTTTAATTCAGTTCCAAGTTGTGTGATTTATTTTATAATTGTCTCAAAATACCTGAAGGAACAGTGGTCACACCCCAACTCTCAAAGTAGTCACTCGAAGACCGGTTCTTTTGGTTAATAACGCAGCAAACTACATCCTTAAAAATGACAGAAAGATCTGTATGAGCTTTAACAAAGTGGTATTCACCTCAGGGCTATTCTATTTCACAGTGTATCTTGTGTTAATGTTTCTTTTTCAGCTCTCTGTGAAATATTCATGTAAGCCAGTGGCAGTGGAGCTGCTGTCAATCATTAATTTCGGCCCGTCTGCCAAGTGTGAAGTGTCTCTCAGTTTCGTTTTGAGTCAAACAGGTCCTTCCTGCACACTGACTGTACTCTGTCTCCTCTCTCTGTAAGGTCTGAGCGGGCGATTCATCATTACTTCACTTCCTACCATTTACCAGTAAGTTCTTAGCTATTCTGAGTTTTTTTTTTTTTTTTGCTTCCTCTTGTCGTTTATGCAACACGGATGTGCATTATCATCATGGGTTTAACTAAGTTTAGAATCTCATGTACTTTTAGCTCATCAGATGTCACATTAACAAGACTACATCTTGTTGTTTTCTTTAACATAATCATAAAGGGAAAACAAGTCTAATTTGTTAGCGTGTATACAATGTGCATTTCTGAAATATGCCACAGTTGGGGTTAACATAATATATATCAGTCAAGGGATGCAACTAATCTCTATGGAGTCATCTATCTATGATTTATTCTGATTACCCATTCAATTTATATCAAGACATTGTGAAAAATAATGAGAATTCCAAGTTGCAAAATAAAAAGATAAAAATATTGTTATCGGTATAAATCAGGGTAGCGGTGAAGCAGGCCCTTTGGGTCTCCTTCAGGTTCTGTGAGTGAAAACACTGAATGTTCCTAAAATGTTTTGTGTCGTTGATTGTGTTCTAGCTGTAAAGATGGCGTCTTCAGGAAGTACCAGGGAGCTCGCACTAAAGACGACTTCCTCGGCTTTGTCGATGAGCAGAAATGGAAAGCGGTCGAGCCGATTTCATCTTGGTTTGGGCCATCTTCGGTTCTGTGAGTATTCACAGCTTTTATCTGATCATGGTGATGATGAAGTATGACAATAGGGTTATGCATCAATATCAAAAATCGAAGCTCTTCTGGTTATCGTAAGATGTATTAAGATTGATATCGCCAAAGCCCATGTTTGCAGTGATACCAAAGAAAACCTCTTCTAAATATCAGAAAACAGCATGAGATACCAGCCCTGTTTGTTCTATTCTTAGTGTCTTCTCTGTTGGTTTAAAAGCAGAACCACAAACACCCCCTCCCGTCTCCTACTTGTTATTCTTTATGATTAGGCTTTGTAAGTGATGTCACAGTTTGACTAATCCGTGTTAAATTACATGCTGTCGTTTTCCTCCTCTTTTGGGCAGAATGAATTCAATGTCTGCTCTGTTCAAGCTCTCCATGTTTATCCGGGTAAGTGAGGATTTTTACTCTCTGGTCGTGCTGTCTGTCAACATGTAGGTTGTTATATGTGAGAAGGTTTTTATTTAATTTCCCACAATCCATTCAAAGAAGAATGTGCAGCTCAGTGTGAAATTGCATGAGGGAGGATTGGCTTTTACATGAAAACAATAACAACACCTGTGTTTTACAGGATAAAGGGTTGACACATTTAGCGCAGACATTACCCGACATTGTCACAAAGAAGACTAAACTTACAGGAAACAAAGCTGTTGAAATTAATCATCGGTTTATTTTTAGTTTTTTTTTAACAAAGCAAAATACTTGTTTAGTCTATTCTGGTCGATATTGTTATTTAATATTTAAAAAATGTCTAATACTTCTATTTGAAAAATATACTTTATTTTTGCAAACATTACACAAAACAGGAGGAAATTATTGGGGACTATTTTCAGCTGCGGATTAATACACACTTTGTTCTCTACGGAGTATTTCTGGCAGCTGGACGATGTGTGATATATGTGAGATCGAGTCAGAATAAACTACAGTGCAGATGTTTTTGTATTTTCCAGCGTTGTCATAACTACATGACGGAGCAGCTGGGGATTCCTGTTTGGGGGTCTTACGTTATCTTTGGCTTGGCCACTCTGTTCTCTGGCCTGGCTCTGGGACTGGTGAGTACTTGTGCAGCACCTATTCATGATTTGTAAAAACAGGGAAACTGTAGTGAACGCTCTTACAGCGTTCATCAAGTACAAGCACACGTGTTTCCAGTGAATTAATGGTTCTTGTTGTATTGTCTCTGCAGTTACTGGTGTTCATAGCAGATTTTGCCTTCCCCTCACGACGCTTTTCCTCTTCAGATTACTACCAGAGTGAGTTTTTTATGAGATCATAATTAATACCGTTTTACTATACATTTATTTTATATACATAATATGCTTAGGTTTACTGGTTGTTGGTCACCGACTGTTCTACGTGTTATTCTGCAGAAAAACAGACAATGGAGCAGGCGAGGTTAATCCAACGACAAGAGGACGAGCAGGAGGCTGACGGCGAGGCTGACGGCGAGGAAGACGACGATGAAGACGACGACGAGGAGGACGACGAGGTCTGGAGGCGGAGGAGGAGAGGGTCCCCAGAGGGCCGCCCAGAACCTAAGGGACAGGGTTTCGACGAAGCTCTGAGGAAGAGGGTGGTGGGCAACCGTGAGCAGCAGCAGCAGCAGGAGGAGGATGAGGAGGATGAGGAGGACACCTAGAGAGTCACATGGTTCCTACTCCTTTGAGAAGAGCATCATGGAGTCAGCAGAGTGGGAGGAGCTTTGGTCCCGAGCAGCAGCAGCAGTGTTTACAGCAGGGAGCCTTTAAACCCCCTCCTCCTCACCTCCCCTTCTCCTCCTCTGGGCCCCCAGAAACAGCTCGCTTCTTTTCTTCTTCCTCCCTTGTTTTTTAACAGGAGCGCTTTAGACTCTCTCTCCGTCTGAGCAGCAGAGCTCCACCTGGAAAAAGCAAAACAAGTAAAACACTCCTGACACCTGTTTCCACTTGTGGTGACAAATCGCCCGGCTGAGGTTTAGGTATGAAGTGCAGTAGAGCTGGATTTTGCAATGTTGTTTATGCTATGCATCATTTTTTTAAGATATGTGTTTATTATATGTTAATCTCAGAATTATTATACCAAGCTTGTGTTTAAGTTTTTTTTGTTAAATGTTATTACTTCACAGCTCATGTATACATGTTATTTTATGTTTGTTGTATATTTTACAAACCCTTACAGTTCAACCCAACGTACCAGTGTCCTCCCACCGTTCCTCATTTCAGTGTGTAATCGAGGAAGGCGTGAAAAAGAAAACGTCTCCAAGTGTTTGTTTTGTGACACCCGTGGTTAACAGCAAGCCCACAAACTGTTGCATTACTACCTGATATACTTAAGACTGATCCGGTAGTGAAACATGAAAAACAAAATGCATTTTTCTTCAACAATAGCTGTCAGACGAACACATTGCATCTCAGCACCTGTGACTCCTCCACAATAAAGCCACCCTGACTTTCTCCACTTGAATGCTTTCAATGTGAAGTCACGGCAGTAGGACAGCAACTGAATACAGCTCAGATGTAGGAGAATAAGCAGCGAGGCTGATATCAATGAAGGCAATTTAAATCCAGTGCGGTAATGGCGGACTCCGCCACAAATAATAAAAAAAACTACTACATAGAAAGATCTTATCTAAATACATTGAATGGTAAATGCAGAAAAATTGCTGACAATAAAAGATTAACAACTGGAGTTTAATTTCATGAGAATCTTGAGAACTATACCTTTAAATTCCCGCCCAGTGGTTTTCCGTCAGTCTGTGGAGTGTGCATCCAGGCGGTACAGGTTCGCTGTGGGGCAGGAACCTGTACTCAGCAATCGCCGAGTACAGGTAAATGTTGACTTTAACTGAGCAGCACGCTTGTCCGTTTGTAGAAACGCTAAGTAGATGCTGATGTTTAAAAAGGAAGCATATTCACTCCAAATAAAAGGCCTGGTGAATACTCTGTAGATACTGTAAGTCCCCGTCATGTATCATGCAGCCAATGGGATGTTTTATTTTACTTTGTGTTACTAATGTCTACTTGTGATTCTCTAATTATTAGGGGGCGTTTACTTAAATAACCCAGATGTGTTGTCGACTTGACAGCGGGTCTGCAGAACAGTATTTGCATGCTGTAATATAATTAAAGAGAGGGAACAGTTTAGGGACGCCCTTAACCAGTACGAATACTAGAAAGAAGCTCCGCCCGACAAATGGAGGCGTAACTCGGCCTTCTGTTGTGGACTTTGTTTTTAGGCTCAAAAGGTCAAAATCAACCTGAACTTTTGAGGTTAATTAACCTAAATGACATATTTTGTGTCAATAGGTTTCTCATTGAGATCTGGAGCAAATGATCACTCTTATGCGTATTCTTCAAATATTCATGTCACTCTCCGCTCAGCCTGTATCCTTTTCAGTCTTGTAAAGCAAAAAGGGGAAAAGTGTGTGTGTGTGTGACCAGTGTTTTTAATACACATTTCACTCCGTTTTGATCAGGCTTATGACTGGTATAGACTTTGATTCATTTTTTTTGTTGGTGTTTATTCCAAAAATAAAGCTGATTAGTCATTTTGGTGACGGTTCAAACAGGTTGTAATCTTTGCCCCCTCACTGTTAACGGCTTGTAGCATTCACTCTTTACTCTGAGCTCCTTTTATTGTTTGAACATTTCTTTTGAATAAACGGTTAACTCTGAAAAAAAGTCTCACTTGTGTTGCTTACAATAGTTAAACATCCTGAAAAACAATCAAATATCAAACATTTGGAGAAACACTTGCCAGAACATGTCATAGTAGTACACAGAACATACTGCAGCAGTGGTGGGAGAAGTATTCAGATGAAAATACTAAAAAGACAATGTAACAGTACCCCAAGTAGAAGTCATCATTTCATTACTAATACAAGTAAAAGTCCTGGAATCAAATCCTACTTTGGTAAAAGTATGTAATACAAATGAACTGCCATACTAATACATATATATTTTTAAATATGACAATTATTCACGCTACACGATATTATTAGATTGTATCCAACATTGATGCATCACTGTGTCGGCAGTATTATTTTACTGTTGTAACAAACTCAAATTCAGATTTTGTTTTATAAACATGACTTTCATTAAGTTGTACGCAGGTTTGACAAAGTGAACAATGCAAGTTTGATCATTCAGAATTGTAAAGACACAGGACAATAGTCTGTGCCAGCAGATGTCACTCTTGCACTCTTTTTAGTTGATGTTCAAACTAGAAACAATACAATAAATTAGAAGGCAAGTTTATTGTGTTGCAAGTTTCAACAACAAAGCAATTCAAAAGTGCTTTTACAGAAGACATGAAAAGGCATTCAGAGAAGAAACATCAGGCAACATCAAAAGACATTTAGATGTTTTGTCTATCACAATACCGATAAGCCCCAGCTTATTTTTTGCTATGGAGAAGAGGCCGGTCAGTGACAAAAAGGCCTTCACACAACCCAGCCGGCATGACGAATAAACAGCACGAAACTTTTCTCTCATTTCTTTAGACTTTCGAAATGAAGACATCAGCACATTAAAAAACGTGGTGAATTAGTGTTGATGGCTGATTATATATATATATATATATATATATATATATATATACACATGTGTCATATATATATATATATATTTATATATTTATTTTGCTCATCACCTGCCCAATACAATCCCAACAGTGAAGCATGGTGGTGGCAGCATCATGCTATGGGGGTGTTTTTCAGCTGCAGGGACGGGACGACTGGTTAAAATTGAAGGAAAGATGAATGCGGCCAAGTACAGAGATATCCTGGAAG